AAAGTTCAAGTGTTCGATTCTGTCAACTGTGTAGTGTTCTTTTGTGCTTTGCTTCTTTCTGTTCTATCCTTATCTCTCTCTCTCTCAAACGTTTCACCTTTGTCTCCTGCGAAGAAAAAACCATGTATATTTGCTGCGCTATTGCCAACTTTTCTTCGTTCTGTTCCTTTGTCTATGCATACATATTCTGTTATTTTTATGACATAAAACGTTTTATTGCTATACGACTACCTTGTAAATTATTAGGTTGACTTTCTCCAACATATATGTCAAAATAGATTCTACTTCCTTCTGTCAACGCTTAAATAGCGCTGAATAAATGCTGAATAAATGATCTAATACTTTTTAAAAAAGCCAAACTAATAATTTACAAGGCAGGCGTTTTGTAATCTATGCACATGCGTGCGTGTTTTACGAGGAAATCGGAGTCACTTCCTCCTTGTAGGAACTATAAATAGAAGGCAAACTAGACATCATTTACTCACAAAAAAAAGGTAAGATTCATTAATAATACTAAGGCGCCATTAGCAAACGCTCCAGACAGCATTAAATATCCATCTGTCACAGTTGAAGAAACGTCGGTAAAACAGGAATCAAAGTAAGGCTGATGATAACTGTGGAAATTGTACCTTATTTGAAATGCTGAAGAGCTGGTGTATACATATCTGACTAGAGACTAATAAAGCAACTTTGGATATTTTGCTTTCGGGAGTTACACGAAGGGCAAGGTTATCTAGATTTATATAAACTTTCGGCCAAATCTCGTAGATATATGCAAGCACATAGGTCTATGTGGTACACTTTTAATCGAGTATCTTTTTGCCTAAAATCGTTTTTTCTAAAAGCAGTTTTAGAAAACTAGCTGAAAAGCAATCACATCATGTTTTTCAACAGTGAGCTTAAATTGTATTGATATAACATACAATTAAACCATTTTTAGTCAAATAGTCCGTCATCGAAATGGCAAATAAGCTTATAACTGAAGGTTTTAATCAACTACCAATTAAAACACAAGAATCCGGTTCGTAGTAACTATTATTGCATATATGGGAACTGAATTTAATCAGTTACTTTAATTCTAGTTTCTGCTCCATCACCATTATGTGTTGTATGTCAAACAGATGATAAAAGTATCGCATGTATACCATGCGGTCATCTAGCTACATGTGTACCATGTGGCTATTCATTAAGGAATTGTCCAATATGTCGTAAACAAATAGCAGCATTCGTCAAGTTTACTTATAAAGCGTTAGTCTAGTTACTAATCTTAGGTTATCTGACAAACTCACAAATATTACATTAGCGGTTACAATTGAAGCGGTTACTCTTTGTTCTAGTGGTATAATGTACAATACTTTGGTTAAAGTGCACCTTGCCACTATTTATGATAGAAATTACAAGACTAAACAGATGCGTCTTTGGCATAGCAATATTTACAAGAGTTTTAAAATAGCTCTTCAAAACTTTTTTGTGAAACTGAATGTCTGTTCCTTTAACCTGAGGCTAAAAAATCCACAATAAAATGCGGTTTTTTTTCGTTTTTAACGACCAAAAAACACCTTAAATATTTCAAAACGAACGCTTCTTTTTTGTCGTTTAAACGCGTTTTTCGTTATTTATTTGTTTGAAAAGGCGCTTTTCGGAATTTCGGAACACGTTACTTTTGTGGTAAAACGTACAAAACTTTCGAATGACGTATTTGCTAACGATCAAACGTACAAAAAACGCGTTTTCAAACGTTCTGGAATGCGTTTCAGATGAAACATTTAACGCCTTTTTTGATCGTTAAAAACGGATTAAAAACGCGTGAGAACAGAAAATTTCGGTAAAGCCAAAGATGAGACTTGGCTACCCAGTGGGATTTGATCCAAAATAGTCGAAAGTCTATAATAAAGGAAGTACAAACTGATCTAAAACTGAAAAAGAATCAAAAGAAGATGATATTTCGATTGTGCTTATATACTCGGCTGACCGCAAAACAAGACGATGAAGGTCCAGAGGTAAAAAGACCGACGAGAAAACGGTTTTTTTTCTGTTTTTAACGACCAATAACTGCTCTGAAGGTTTCAAAACCAACGCTTTTTTTTTGTCGTTTAAACGCGTTTTTTGTCCTTCAAAACTTTCGAATGACGTATTTGCTAACGATCGTTAAAGTAACCGTTTACTGGCGTTTTTGTTGAACGCGGTTTCTAACTTTATTAGATAGATTATTAATAAATTGAAGTATAATTTGATTTATATAATCCAGTTTTTGTCTACTAGTGATGATAGATGATTATAATAAACATGAGCGGCAGCAATATCTCTAAAAAACATAAAGTTATTAGTAGATATATGAAAAAAAGCTTCTTATATTGGTAGAATTTCTGCTATTTGTAATATTTGGTAATGTATATCTAAATGTCAACAAGTATAATAAGAAACAAAAATGCGTTCCTCATCCACTTATCCATCTGATTCATTTTCGTCTAGCTATTTGATCTCTCCATTAATATAAAAATTTCACTAAAACTACTTGTTTGCTGTCAAAATATTTTACTGTTACCTAAGTAAACTGCTTCATAAGCATTTGAATCAAATACTGGTTGTTTATAGTACTAAAAATGTGTATAAACAATGAGTAGGATCAAATTTTTATAATTGCAAGGAAACGTACCCGGTATTGGCAAACATTTTTGGATTTTTTGTAAATTTGTTGTAATAACGCTTTGGTTTCACATCCAATAATTTATTATGGAGAATATAATAGATGTATAGAAAATAATACGTATCTTGAGGCGCATAATGAATATAATCTATTGGTAACGGTCTAAGCTTAAATAAGAGCGAACTGATAGATATGATAGAAATTAAGAAGTAATTTGAGTTACCTTCTTTTCCAAACAGCTAGTTGATATTATTTATTTGCTTTGATATTACAACATTCTTTTAATCAATAAGCTAATGATAACGATAATAAATTTACTTCTTCAACTGTATGATATGTGTCAAACATATTTATAACATGTAAACCTAAATCCACTGAATATCAGATACACCAGCGTGAAATATCTCAACAGAACATAATCTTACACTACGGTCACACTACAGCCTTAATCATGATTTTTGTTAATTATGATTAACGATGTTTTAGTGTAGCCACACCCTTTTTTTAATCATGATTAACACTATTTTAATCACGGTTAAATAAACAAAGTGGCCGAGCTAATCATAATTAAAGACTAATCGCGATTAAGAACAGCAAATAAATACAGAAAGTGCTCTATTTTGATGACTTTCCATTTCAAGCGCGATTTTGTCCTGTTTCAATATGTTGACTACGGCGGTGGGATGCATTTTCTTCTACGAGTAAAAATCGACTTAAAGCAGAACAATTCGGTAATACGTTATTTATCATCACCATTACGGATAATAACATTGGTCATGATATATCGTCATTTTCGCTGTATCCAG